CGCCGGCAGCCGGGGAGGGCCGCGGCCGGGCGCTGCGCTAAGGGGAACGGAGTAAACTCTCCGCTCTCCTCTGTGTTTTGTTTTGTTTTGTAGTTACAGAGTCAAACAGCAAAAATAGGCTGAGTCGGGATGTGATTTTAACCCTTATTTATTAGGAGTTGTCAGTCCTGGTGTCGAAACTCCTGTAAATGAGCAGGCAGAGCCATAGGAAAGCTGCTGAGTCAAGGCTTATTCGGCAGTTCTGGGTTTTCTGCATTTAAAAACTGTTAGTAATTTCTTCACTCGATGTCTTGGCTTGCCAATAAAAGCTTTCTTAAAATCACTTTTAATTATTTTTAATGTTTGTATTCTTTTTCAATTCTATTCATTTATGTTATTTTTTTTAGTTAGGTTCAAGTTTTATGGATGTTTATTGTACTTCTTCCCATGCTGAAGTATTTTCTTTTGAATCAAATCAAATACTTCGAGCATAACAGCAAAGAGTGTGTTAATTGCTTACCTAGTGCCTTGCTGAATAGGGACATTGACAGCAGCAGGAGCTGACATTCCTCATTATCCATGAGGATTGTGCACATTTCCATGTGTACACAAAGGTACTTTGTGCCTTTGAGCTGGGAAAAATCATGTTCCCAGTAAGGCTGTACAGGTCAGAAATAACATCTCTTCCCTCCCTTTTTTATCTCTTAACATTTTCTAAGTGTTGATAGGAATATTATTTACTGTTTTCCAGATCTCTCTCAATTCCAAAATAATAATCTCGACTATTTTAAGAAACCTAATTGCAATGAGAACTGAAATTCCATTCAGAATAGGAAATATCCCAAGGCCAAAGTCTATGAAACCAGTTCAGATATCCCTGAAAATAAATCTGAGCATGAAAACATTGTTCAAGTCATGCAGCTAAACTAGATCATGTGAAAACAAGGATTCTCATGGTAAACTCCTCTTTCCACTTCTGTTCCAGGTTTCATTGCAGAGCAGCTGTGTCCTCATTTCTGTATGAATGTTCCAAGTTTTATTTCATTTCACATCCTTGCTCAGAGAGGTGAGAACACCCTCATGGAGGCTGTGGATTGTGAGGAAGCAGCAGCTTTCCCTGCCCACTATTCCCTTGCTCCAAGCAGCAAAAAAGAAGAACTCTTTGAACCTCATTGGACTAACTGAGGCAGAACTGGAAGAACAGTTTGTAAGAGGTGATGGCCCAGGAGGTCAGGCCACAAACAAGACAAACAACTGTGTTGTCCTGAAGCATGTTCCAACTGGGATTGTAGTGAAGGTAATTATAATCTATTTTACTGAGTCAGAAGTTGCATCATGATTTCCAAGTCTCAGAGTGAAGCACAATCACAGTGCAGATGGCATGAAGGGAAAGGTTGTATTTGTTGGAAAGGACCTCAGCAAGAAGCAGTTTTGGCTGTCAGCAGGTAAATAAACTTGGGCTCAGAGCTGTTTGTAGCTTTCAGTGTAGCCTTTGAGCTGCCACATACCTGTCCCTCATGTGAGTGACTTACAATCTCTTCCTTAACAAGCTGATCACCCTCTGCAAATCCTTTTTAAGCATTTCTGCTTCTTCTGGATTAACACCTTGAAATTAATCTTTGCTTCCTATCACAAGGGGAAGGCAGAGTTTAGTTAAACTCTGAAGCAGCTTTCCAAGGTAATGTGGAAGCATTAAAGATTAATGCAAAAGCCAATCTGACAAGTTAAGAGTAGCAAATCATTATTAAAATATAATCTGGATATCAAAGTTCCAACTGTCACTGGTAGGAGGTTGCTCTTGGCCTGGGCAGGAGGGGAGTTTCTTTACTGTAATGGGAGGAATATGTAGACTGAAAGGGAAAGCAGAATAAACAGGTTAAAGTTCCAGTAAAAATGTCCTATTGTATTTCTTCAGTGTCATCAAACAAGATCAGTGGAGAAGAACAGAAAGATTGCCAGAGAAATCCTGCAGCAAAAAGTTGACCTTTTCTACAAAGGTGAAGACAGTGATGTTTTTAAACAGCAGAAAGCAGAGGAGAAGAAGAAGCAGGAGAGAAAAAGAAGAGCAAAGGAAAACCTAGAAAGGAAAAAGCATTTTAAAGAGATGCAACAATTGGAGGAGAAATAAACATGTGAAATACTGACTCACCCTAGCAGGGTAAGGGAAACATTTGTCATTAGACCTGAGCACAGTTTGCAGACTGAGAGATGATGTAAAGCTTCATAAGCACAACTGAAAACCTGAGTGGTGACCTGCTGTTCCTGGAAAGCTGAAGTGATAAATGCAGTGATGTATTCCTGCTTGTCTGCCATCATCTCATTGATCACATTTAGCACTCAGCTCTTCTGCCAAGTTCAGAAGATGATAAACCAATCCTTGTTAAAAAGGAACTATTAACTTTGCACTGTTGTTAATGGAGACAAAAAAAAAAATCAATAGATTTCCTTCTGCTTGGGAACACCTTGTGATGCTCTGGAGGAGCTGCAGTCCATGAGAACAGCATGGAAAGGGTCTCACTTCCCATTCTTGCTCAGGCAATGCCTTCAGTGACAAATCCTTTACAAACCATGACCAGGTTTAGGTACTGGTTATGATGGTGTGAACAGAGCTGCTGATGGGAGGGACACTACTCACTGGTTCCCTCCTTCAGCTGAAACTCTGTCCTGCTCAGCTCTGACTGAAGTTTAACAGCAGCTTGACAGATCTTACCTGGAGTGGTGCTGAGCTCTGGGGCACAGGAAGGCTCTGCAAGTGAGGGCTGATAGTCATATTCCTCCAGTTCAGAGGGAAAATTGGGTCATTACAAATAAAAGAATAACCTGTGCTGGAAGCTTCATCCCATGGCAAGAGTCTAGTTCATCCAAACTGAAGTGATTAACTCTTAATTAACTTTGCCTCTTCATAGTGTTTTTGTTCAATTATCCCTAGGCTCTACACATATTAAACATCCCAGATATCCCATCTTCCTTAGGATTCAGGTTTCAGTTGTGAATTCCAGTCATTTATTATGTTTATTCTATGCTGCAGTTAAGTTTGGGCATTTTGGAAACTCCCCAGGCCCTCCCCTTGTCCCTTCTGACCTCCTGCATGAAGGTTAAATTTCATGTTGTCAGTTCTTGTTCTTGGAGTTTGATTAAAGTGACTGTACATAGTTTTAAAACAAACTGTTAATGAAAATAAACTTTATTACCTCAAGTAATAAATACATACAAAGATGCAAATAAGTTTTAGTAATTTATCCAGAATTTTCCTTCTTTTTTTTTTTTTTTTTTGGGCAAACTTTAAACTGAAATCTCCAGCCTTAATGTAGAAATTAGCTTTTCCAGGACCCTGTTATTATTTCACAGGTTTCCCTATTTTCCATATAGCTCATGCACTTTAAATGGACTTCAAAGCACTAACGGTCATGCAAATGGTTATGCAAAATGAACAAAAATAAAGGAAAAATAAGAGAAGGGGAAGGTTATTTCTAAGCAGGGTCTATGCTGTATGACAAACTGTGACTTAGCAGACTACTGGGTACAGCATGCTATTCTGCATTGATTAAAAAAAATCCTCAGAGCTTATGTCAAACTTTGAAAGATTGACAGTTTGGGGATAAGTGAATATAGGCAAAGGAAAGTAACAGAATGAGGCTGTGGCTGGATAAGAAGAGAACTGAAATATAGCCTGGGAGAGAGAGCATTCCACTGCATGCACTTCAGGTTCCATGTTTTAGAAACATTTCAGGGAGTTTTTATGTCTTTACAAAATGCAAACCCTCAGCAAGTTGAAAAATCCTTGGTTTTTTTTGCCATTCTTAACTATACATTTTTGCAAGGGCAAACCAAGAAAGGTCAAACATTCAAAATAAAGGAGTTTTTGTCTGAACGTTTCAAGAGTCAAAAGGAATAAGTGTTAACTTTTTTTTTTCTTCATGAAGAGATGGAAAAATCTTGGAGTGAATTAATGGGCTAAGATCTTGCATTTCGTTCCGTCTCAGCCAAGCATTCCCGAACTAATCCTCTAGCATGGATGATTCCTGCAAAAGAATTGGACATGTTTTAAATCATCCCAGTCAGGTCTCAAGTGCAGTGACAGTCCACAGAAAGGTTTATGTGTTTCTGTCCTGAGTTGCCAAGCTACCAGCACAGCAGGCCCCAGAAAGGGAGAGAGCTCTCCCTTCCCAAACATCAAGTTTGCTTTCCCAAACTGTTGTTAGACATGGAAAAGGGACTAAACCAGGAATCAGAACACCCAAAGATCTGTAGATTTGCACTGACAGGTTTTAATGTGCAGTGTGAGCCTACTTAAAGACTTAGAGGAAAAAAACATCTTACCTACCAGTGAGTTGTTTTGCTACAGCGGAGTGAAAAAAAAATAAAGTTATTTGTGGAGTCATTTTAGCAAGTTCTGAAAGTCTTAGTGCCTTGGGATAATTCTCCTCTGAGATGCATCAAAATCCAAGCCCTTATAATGCTGCTGAAAGACAAGTTGTTTCTCTTGTAAGAATAAGGAGATTTTTTTTATGGTGTGTGCAAAAAGTTACCTCCTCACACTGGCTCAGCTCCCAGTGTAAATCATCCCCACTTTACATGCTGCAGGATCTACTCTCATCTGACAGACATAATGTGGAATTTTCCACTACAAGTCCTGTTACCTTGAGTTCCAGCAATCTGGACCTTGATTCTTAATCCTGGAACTAAATGTAGATTCACGTTCACAGAGCTGCTGGAAGAAGAGCTTGAGACAGGTTTTAAAATGAGAGATGGACAGATTGTTCTGCAACAAAAGAGGTTCTATTTTGCTGACAGGACAGGACAGAAGGTGATTTCTCTGCTCAATCATGCTCCTTAACAAGGTGGAGAAAGGGCAGTAGGGCAATAGATGGGGTTTAATCTCTAGAGATAATGGCTTCTGTTTCTAGAAGGCTTCTAGCCCAGATCCCAGCAACAGCCTTCACATCCAAGGAGTACTGACCCGGGACTTGCTGCTTTTGCAGGGGGTTAAATGGCCACAGGCAAGTAAAGCTGCAGCTGTGGGATGCAGAAACACACACTCAGAGCAGTGTGAGAGACCTGGATGTGGTGGCAGGACGCCCAGTTTATGCAGCAGAACTACCCTGAATAATGTAGAGCACTGGGAATTTGGCCAATTTTAGAGGTCAGTAGCCTCTGTGCTCGGGAGTGGGTGGAGCTGGGGACAGGGATTTTATTCAGGGATAACCTCCACATGGCCATGGAGGCTGCACTCACGTGCTCACCCTCAGTCACTTCTGCTCTCACACTTGCACATGCTCCTTCAGCCTCTAGGCTCCCAAAATGGAAAGAGAGGGATGAGTGTGGCCAAAAGATGGCAGCAAAAAGTATTTATTTGGGATTCTCTGCGAGTCCCCGTGGCAGCTCTGAATCGAAAACCTACGTTGGCCAACAAATGAAACACTCACTGCAAGAAGCAGCAAAACAACTTTTCCTCACTGAACTGAAGCATCATCTGCATCTCTCCAGGTCTCTCTCAGGCTGTCCCCATTAGCCTATTGCCATTCATGATCTATTAATACTGACTCAGGCAATGCAATAAAGAGAGACTCCAGCAACATTGATTTTAGCTGGGCCAGATTCCACTTACCACTCATCAGCAGACTTTATTGCATCCTTTCCCAGAACAGCTACTAGTCATTTTATTGCATGTCATGGCAGATATATTACTCTCCCATAATGGTTGAGCCTTAAATAAAGCTTTGTAGTCTTGGGTAAATGTAAGGGGGATTTGCAAGGTGGTGAAGTTCCTCTCTTACAATAACATTCCCATTCCGGGTCGAATGCATGAGCCCATCTCAGCACAAGGACCATGGGAAGGGAGGAAAAGGTAACTAAGTGACACTGGGAAAGGCCAGAACTGCCAGCACAAGTGTTGTCATGGCCTTTCAGGGTCATCTCAGGAGCTGCAGCACTGGAATGTCCCACGGCTCCTTCAGAAATATCCCTTGCACGTCCCTGTAGAGGACAATGTCAGGCTGATGTCAGCAGTGGGGCATGCAGGGGGTTTCTTTTACACGGTGAGGAAAGGGCATTTATTACTCCTTTTAGCTGACAAAGCAAAGCTGGAGAGACTCATCAGCCAACCCTGAAAGCCTCTCTGTCCCTTACTAGTGGACTCCTAATAACATCCACTTGACAGCAAGTAACAGAGCCTAAGCAGTTCCACTGTCCAGAGAGGAGAACATTAATGTTTGACATCTCAGTCTGAACAGCCTTTCCCTGACACCTTTCTTGGGGGATTTTGTAGCTCTTCTCCCCACCAGCCTTGGTATGAATTACCACAGTGTTGTATTCCTCTGGGCAAAATCCTCTTCAGTAAAGACTCCTGGGCTAAGTAGATGGGAGATGTGTATGAGAGGTAAACAATCTTGGCTGTGCATTTTGGAGACTGAGGAGAAAAGGGAATTGAAGGGGCAAGGAAGTCACCAGGAACCTGGAAGAACAGATCCATTAAGGGTTCCACAGCAAGGTTTGAATTATTAACTGAGACTCCCTGTGTGCACATGAAACACCATTTTTGTCACTGTTTATCTATCACATACAGCACAAACAGAGCATCCCAAGGTTTCAGCTGCTGGTTAATAACTCCCAGTTCCAGGAGGAGCTCAAGCTGTCTCCCTGCAGAGGAAACAGTTGTCCTGAAGCTGTACCCAAGTAGTCAGTGCACAAAGTGCACAAGTCAGGATTATTTCTCAAAATACGTGAAAAACTTACCTCTTTTTAGCCTCTCCATGGCACTTTTACTCCCAGCATATGTGGGTCTAATCTCTTTTCCTAATTCTTCTATGACAGCTAGAAGTTCTGCATATTTGCTCTGTGGCACTTGACTGCTGCTGGTACCCTGCAGTGGGAAACAGATTCACCTCAATCAAACACTCTAAAAACAAAACAGCTACAACCAACAGGAACTGGAGATTCAGAGAGGAGCAGAAATAGCCCTGGAAGTCACTTGTAAACAAAATTAATTTATTATTTATTATATAAATATGATTTTCTTTTTGAAATTGCTGCTACAGTTGGACACAATGTCCTTCAAAAATCAGGATCAACTGGAAGGATTCAGCTGCAAGACCTGGACTTCAGGTGGAACAGAAGTCCAAAGTCCTGCAAGAACAGCAAAGTGGGAACTGCTTGTTTAACCCAGTTTCTGTTTTTTCAGTGTTTAGGTGTGTGTTTTGTGCAGAAGTTAGCTAGGCAGGGAGAGTGAGGAGCAGATAAAACTGTATGGAAATAGTCATTTTCAACCAAATAACTTTCAAATATGTCAGCCCTTACTACCAGAACATAATTCAAGCCATGTTTGTCTGTGACTCAGATGGGATGGGACTAACAGTTAATTAGTGACCAACCTCACTCAGCACTCTACTTAGTCTAATTTGATCCCCAGACATGTGTGATGAATCAGTCTGCCATTTGGGTTTGATTTCAGACCTTGGTGGGAGGGAGGGACACCTCAGATTACAGCCCACAATCTGTGCTACTATGCAAACCCAGGGTCAGTGAACTGATTAAAGCAAATCCCCAAGCAGAGCTGTACCTGCATCCCTTGTGTATAGCCTAGAGATGGAGGTCCATAGTCATTTATGAGCTGTCTGTACTGTGCAGATGTTGCCATACTTGTGTAGGGAGAGTGAACACTCCCAGCTGCGGAGAGAAAAGAGAAAGAAAAAAAATCTGTTATTATCTAAAGATTAATTAGTCTGTTACACTGGGACACATTTTAATCACTTGCTTCCAAAGCTGTGACCTCTCACCTTTGTCTGCAATCGCTAATGACATTCCTGAGTCAGAGTATTTGCTAGGAAGAGAATGGTTAAACGAATGCTGCTCTGATGTTTGCTGCACACTTGGAAACAGCACAGGCTGCAACATTATCAGTGCAAACTGTTTGCCTCGAAGTGCAGCAGAGTGTGGCATGACAGGTTGCTCTGCCTAGACAAACTGTAAGTATTAAGGAGCCCTATTTTTGCATATATACATTCCACACAGATGAGTCTTAATGTACTGTGCTATTTTTACCTTTTCAGTGCAAGTTATCTGAAAGTAATTTTGCAACTCAAAGTGTCATCACATGGTCAAAGCAAGTTACCCTCAGTACTATTTTCAGCCCGTGCCAAAACTATTCCTAGGGAACAGTTGAGGTAGATCAGATCTGCTGCTCATCATGCCACATGGAGGTGAGGAGTGCTACCACTATTCCTCTTTGGGTGATACCCCAGCCAGTCAAATTATACTATATAAGCAAATCAAAGGGAAAATAACATCACTTCGGGTTATGGTTACTTTTTCTACAGTTATAAATTATTAGGGGAGAGGAGGAAAAAGACTTGGGAGTGACAGTGGATGAGAAACTCCCCATGAGCTGCAGTGTGAGCTCAGCCCAGAAAGCCAATGGAATCCTGGGCTGCATCCACAGGAGTGTGGGCAGCAGGGCAAAAGAGGTGAATCTTCCCCTCTGCTCTGCTCTGCTGAGACCCACCTGGAATACTGCACACAGTTCTGGTGTCCTCAACATAAGAAGGACATGGAACTGTTGGAGCAAGTCCAGAGGAGGCCACGAAGTTGCTAAGAGCACTGGAGCATCTCCCCTGTGAGGACAGGCTGAGGGAGTTGGGGCTGTTCAGCCTGGAGAAGAGAAGACTGTGCAGAGACCTCAGAGCAACTTTTCACTCTCTGAAGGGCCTGCAAGGAGCTGGAGAGGGACTCTGTGTTAGGAACTGCAGTGACAGGACAAGGGGAAATGGGTTCAAATGGAAGGAGGGAAAGTCTGGGTTGAATGTGACGAAAAAGTCTCTTACTCTAAGGGTGGTGAGACACTGGCACAGGTTGCCCAGGGAGGCTGTAGCTGCCCTGACCCTGGCAGTGTTCAAGGCCAGGCTGGATGAGCCTTGAGCATCCTGATCTGATGAGGAGGTGTCCCTGCCCAGGGCAGAGGATTGGGACTGGATGATCTGTAAGGTCCATTCCAACCCTTAAATTCTATGATTCTATTCACATCTATTGAGTTTTGAGTCAGTAAGGAGTTCCAGAAACAGACTCCAGTGTGATCACTGACTAACTGCTCCAGACACGAAACACTTCCTCCCCTTTGCCCTGCAATGGTGAGAATTTGGGGTTGAGAAACAACTATCAGATTTTCCTTAAGGGGCTTAATTATGCTGCACAGATCACAACTGTGCTAGAGAACGTGCTGCTCATGGACTTACATGAGGAACAAAGGAGCATCACAGCACTGAACTTCTTCACTCTTGCAGCCCTTGCATCCACGGCTGCTGCTGCTGCCTTTAGCCCCAGACACAGACTGCCTGCTGTCTGGAACAATCTCCCCCCTTACAAACTCCTCTGCTGAAAATTCCCAACTGTCTTTCATATGAGGAACAGATCTCATTTACCAACCTTCATTTAAATCTAAATTAAACTGATGCGAAAAGTCACTGGGGCTCAGAACTATGTAAATCTCCAGCTTTGTTTTAAAGTTCCAAGTGATTCCATTCCTATTTTCCCCCTCTCTGCAAAAAAAGAAAGAGCCAGAAGTTGCTCTGGAAAAAGCTCTGCTGAACATAGTGGAATAAACTCTTGTCCTCAGCTGAGAGGTGTCTTTCCACTTCAGAATTATCACAGGGTATCACTGTGCTGTTTTCATCACTACAAGAAGAGTGTTCTTAATTTTCAGTATTAAACAGATGTGAAATCCCCCCAAAAAGGCAAACTGGGCTAGCCACTAGGTCACCTTAAAAAAAAAACAAAAAAAAAACCTGCATTTTCAGTGCTAAGGTATCACATGGAGCTAATTTTGCTCAAGCATAGTAAAACCCAAAAAAACCTAAAAAAAGACACCCCTAGAGTAGGGCACTGTGAAGGAACACCACAGTTGTCAGATATTCTCTCAGTTCTTCACATTATCAGCTCAAAATACAAGTGTAAAGATCTCACAAGTGTAAGATTTCTGCATGTGCAACTCAGTATTTCAAGCTCAGATGACTGAATTTCAACAGTTCCCAAACATGACACAACAGCAAACCACATCTTTTTTTTTTTTTCCAAGGACTTCAAAATGCTTCAAGAACATTAATGAGCCCCTTGTGCTGCAAGGTAAGAAGGTTTAATTACCTCAATTAAGCAGAGAAAAGGCTTAAGAGATTTTTCCTCATGTACAATAAAACAAAAGGCCCATCCTGCAAAGACTTGTCCCTGAAATGCTGTTGCAAGCAGTCACATGGAAGACTTGGGAGCTCCAAACTGGCTCAGAATAAGGCAAGGACTTGATGACCAGGCTCAGAAATACTCAAGCCACTGAGCAAAGCTAAGCAAAACAAAGAGCAAGTTATCGATCCCATATTGGTCAATGATAACATAGTAGAGATAGTCATGGAATAACAGAAGTTTAGGGGTTGGAATGGAGCTTAGAGATTGTGCTGGTTTGAGCTGAAGTAGAGTTAACTTTCCTCACAGAGGCTAGTATGGGGCTATGTTTGGGTTTTGTGCAGAACACAGAGTTGATAAGGCAGAGATGTTTTTGTTATTGCTGAGCAGAGCTTACACAGAGTCAAGGCCTTTGCTGCTTTCCGTACTGCCACACTGGCAAGGAAGTTGGGGATGCATGGGAGATTGGGAGGAGACACAGCTGGGACAGGTGACCCAAACTGACCAAAGGGATATTCCACACCATAGGACATCATGCTCAGTATATAAGGTGGGAGGAAGAAGGAGGAAGGGGGGGACATCTGGAGTGATGGCGTTTGTCTTCCCAATGAACCGTTACGCGTGATGGGGCCCTGCTCTCCTGGAGATGGCTAAACACCTCCTGTCTATGGGAAGCAGTGAATTAATTCCTTGTTTTGCTTTGCTTGTGTGTGCAGCTTTTGCTTTCTCTATTAAACTGTCTTTATCTCAACCCATGAATTTTTGTAGCTTTTACCCTTCTGATTCGCTCCCCCATCCCGTTGGTGGGGGAGTGAGTGAGAGGCTGTGTGGTTCTTGGCTGCTGCTGGGGTTAAACCACGACAGAGATCATCTAGGCAAGGGCACCTCCTACCAGAGCAGGTTGCTCAAGGTTTCATCCAACCTGGCCGTGAACACTGCCAGGGTTGGAGCAACCACAACCTCCCTGGGCAACCTGGGCCAGTGTCTCACCACCCTCATAGTAAAAAAAACTTCTCCCTGATATCTAGCCTAAATTTCTCCTCTTTGTTTCCAGCTTCTGGCGACTTAAGCAATGCCACGTGCTCAGTCTGCATGAAACAACACAGCAGGTTATGTCTAGAGGAGAAAGAAACTCTCCTAGACTTAAGCAATGCCACGTGCTCAGTCTGCGTGAAACAACACAGCAGGTTATGCCTAGAGGAGAAAGAAACTCTCCTAGCAAAGTGATGCGCCAGGACTAAGCGCTGAGCAAGAAAGTTTCGCAGCGCTTGGAAAACTCCAATCCAGCAGCGACTCAGCCAACACGGAGGGACAAAAGCGAGCAGGAACTTTGAGGAGGCAAAACTGAGCACGAAGCTGGGCCCGGAGGAGGCTCCTGGAGGCAGCAAGCAGAGAGGAGGCGCAGGCAGGGCGATGCTTGGTGATGCAGAGCTGTGCTGCAGACACTAGAGGCCATCGCTGAGTGCACCGTGCCCTGCCAAGTGACAGATCGTGGTAACCATGGTGAGTTTACCCGTTTCTTTGCAGTCTGCATCAAAAATGTAATAAGACATAATGCCATGCGCCGACCACTTTATCAGCAGCAGCAGCAGGGCTGGAGAACAAAGGAAAGGATTTGACTTGGCTGTGGTGCCAGGCTCCATGCATCCGTGGCAGAAGTTGTGCCAGTCAAACTCAGCTGGAGGGAGGGGGGGAAAGGGAAAATCCTTGGTTTCACCTCAATTTTAAGATGATGCAATCATGACAATGGAATTAATTGGGGGGGGATTAGTATCTCGCAGGGTAAGGGACCTTGAGCTTTCTGACCCCTCACTTTGTATGCTAATCTCCTTGGGTCTTGGCTGACTCTTACTCAATTAACCCAAAATTCAGCTGCGTGTCTGAACATCCTGTGTATCTTGGATTAAAAAAAAAATAATAATAAATCACCAGATATTGCTATTATACTTAGCGAGAAAAATTAGGCCAGGAAGTCTCACAGTCAATACCCAGTCAAAAATCCGTGTGGTGATTAGGTATTCACTAGAGAGAGAAAAAAAGGAGGGGGGATCTAAATTGAGGCTCTCTCATGTTAAAATGACAATGGAGACAGTTAAGAACTGACAGAATCAAAAAGGGAGTGTGCTTGGTACTGAATTTAAGTGACACCCTGTATCACAGCCCAAATTGTCTTAGTGCTTGCTGTTGTTTAAAACCTAAATTAATACACACACTTTCCTCCCTCCACTTTCCTAATTAAACGTACACAAAACCTTGTAGATCCCCGTTTGTTCTTGTGCCAACACTGTCTTTTATTCCTGTATTCAAGCAGAACACTAACAGAAACATTTTTCCTCACAAAAATATAGTGATTTTCTTGCTAATCAATATTAATCTTTATTAATTGAGGGAGGGGTTGTCTAACAATACAGCAGACAGAAATGAGATTTTTGTGTCAAAATCCCTTCCTTCCAGCAGTCTCTCTGAGCCCAAATTAACACCCTGAGGGACAAAGGATCTCGACTC